AAATCGGGTTAGTTAAATCCGAAAAACCCGAAAACCCGAAAAAATTCTACAAAAACCGAAATTGCAATAACAAATAAAACTAAACAAAAATAGCAAAAAATGGATCAAACGTAACAATGCCTCACAATATTCAAACTCCAACCATCTTAGTTCATACTAAAAGATCAAACTCCAAACCATCTTAGTTCATACTTAGTTTAAAAATAAAAATCCAAACCATCAAAGTCCAAACCATCTTAGTTCATACTAAAAGGTCAAAATGACAAAGAGAATAAGCAGGAACTAAGATAGTGCATAACTCCAGCCTCCAAAAAGTGTGAACTTCATAGCAAATCAAATATGCATCTGAAACGACAAAACCGATCTCTAAATAAAATTAGAAACCAATACAAATGATATAACAAAACAAAACCAAATTCAATATTTTGATACTACTTACCCATTGTCGATTGTTGAAGTCATTAATAGGGTGAGATTCAATCTTCCACACTTATTGGATCATCAAACTCTAAACAAAGAATTAAGAGAAGTTGAAGTTAGAACAAGTGAAATGATATAAAAATATAAATAAACAAGCCAAAACCATAACATACCTCTCATAAGGTTGTCCAAAAATTCATATTCAGAAGCGATTTGCTCCACTGTAACCAAGCCACTTTCACTTTTACACCGAATTTCCTCCTTCATCCATTGCTCCGTACACATCAGCACCTCCACCATATAATGAGTAAGACAGCTTCGAGCTGGAGTTATGATGCGTCCACAAGTGCTAAAAGCACTCTCAGATGCCACAGAGGAGACCTGCATTGCCAAAACATCCTTTGCCATTTGGGAAAGTATAGGAAACCTGGAACAGTTTGTTCTCCACCAGTCAAGCACGTCATACTCAACACCAGGTAATGTGTTCGCGACCTCAACACCCTCCTTAAGATATTTATCTAACTCGTCCCTTGTATCATTGACTCTTGTTTCTGCAACCTTTGCTTTGTAGATAGAATCCATCCTCTCATATCCCAATCCCAAATCATCATCTATCACTTCCTCTCTTAAACCTTGTGAATGCTCTGATGATTGTGCCTGGTTAGACTGTGAGGACTGCGAGTTTGGAGTTGAAGAGAATCTAGAGGAGTACTCATCAAATAGTGCTCGCAGAACCACTAGGACTGAGGCATTGAGTTCTTGTGCGTCTTTGCTGTTCTCACCATATAGCCTCGCAAAACACATGTTAGCTAAATCCATTTTTTTCTAGGATCCAATACTGATGCTATGATTAGCATTTTGTTTAAACCCTTCATCCCATCCCAATACTTGTCGAACTTGAGCAGCATTGCGTCAGCCTTTGTTCTTATTTCTGCGTCTGCACTTGTGGTAAGGTTCATCAAGGTTTTCTCGATGGTGACTATTTCCCCATAGCATTTGTAAGAGTTCAGAGTGGTTGAAGCTGATACCTGAAGAGTAGACTCATAGAAGACGACTAAAAAACGGTTCAACCTCTCAACATTATCCCAGTCAATTACAGAAGGAGGTCCAACTATTACTTTCCCATCTTCTAACTCAGTAAAATGATCAAGATACAGCTTATCCTCTATGTCTGTACTTCGACGCCTTATGCAACATTATGTAAGTAGAATTCCACCTTGTTTTAACATCCAATGGCAAACTACCCCTTTTCAGCTTTCCAGAGTCTACTCTTAGTTCAAATGAACTCTGCCTAGTTGTTTTTGATCTAACATAACAGATAGCATTGCGAATTGCATTAACACTTGACTCTATTTTTTCAAACCATCTTGCACAATCAAATTAATGATATGAGCACAACACCTTACGTGGAAATAATCACCACCGAGCACAAATGCTTCCAGATTTCTTAACCCAAATTCCCTATGAAATCTACTTATAGCAGAACCGTTCGCTGTTGCATTGTCAACAGTGATGCTAAACACCTTATCTATTCCCCATTCAGCAAGACAGTCCAAGAGAACAGTTGATATAGTCTTACCTTTGTTTAAAGCCGATGATGTACTTCTTTAGCCTCCAAAACATGTCCACAAAGTGAATAGTGATCACCATATAACTAGCCCCTGTTAAATAAAGAAAAAAATAAAGAAACCAGAGTTAACAAATAAAAAACGAACATATAAATAGAGTGGTAAAAATCCTAAACGAACACTAAAAGAAAAGAAACCTGACATCCATACCTGTAGGCTGAGCAACCCATATGTCAGTTGTTAGAGACACACGATGCTTGTTGGCTCTAATGACATCCCTCAATGCTTTTTTCTTAGCCACATACATCCCGCAAATGTTTCTGGTAGCAGTCCTCCGAGAGTGAGGGTCGTAGAGCCTGCATTTATCGCAGAAATGCTTCCAAGCTATGCTATCCACAAAGCTAAGTGGCAGCTCCGCAAGAACAATCATCTCATCTGTTGCTTCCCTAAAAACTTTCTCGGACACTTTTGCTACACCCAGGCCACCACCCTGATTCAGTACACTCTGAGTCTTGCCATTGCTTTGTTGTTGACCCTCTCTCCATGCGAGGAAATGCTTGCATATTCCAAGATGGTTCCTCAAATTTGTGGTCCCTGATGTTGTTGGACACCTATACAACCGCCGACAGTAGTTGCATATGCACCTGTCTCTGTCTTCTTTGGTCCTCGTGTAATGCTTCCACACATCAGACCTTGGATCAAGAAGCTTCATCTGCTTTGGTTGCTGAGAAGCAGAGCCTTCACCGGTTTGTTTTCTTTTTCCTCGACTCGCAGGTGTTTCAATATCATCATCATCAAGATCTTCATAAGGAACGTGAGTGTTTGCTGCATCTGTGTTCGTAGGGGTTGGTTCTGATGATGAATCCATCTACAAATACAAAGCAGAGTTTAGGTGAGACACAAGAGTTCAAGATAACTTTGCAAACAAATCGTGTGACTTAACCACAGCAATGCTTTGATCAAAGTGTATGAAGAAGACAAGACAGCGACATGGTTTTTCAGCTTCACAAGAATCTCAAATAAGAAGAAAGAGATGGAGAGAAATCTAAACCATGTCGAAGCTAAACCCAAAATATTATAGAGAAATTCCAAAGAGATGGAGAGAAATCTAAACCCAAAATCAAAACTATAAACTCTCCCTACATCTAACATCCAAATCGAAGCTATAAACAACCAAAATCGAAACTAAAAGCTATGAAAAACGAAATATAAATCAGAAAAAACCCTAAATCGAAAACAAATATGAAATCGACAACCTGTTTACAAGTAAAATCGACAAAAAAAAGGAATAGAGTTCTTACCTGAGATCGAATTCTCGATGACTCAGAGATTGGAGAGAAAGGGTTTTTGAAATTAGATGAATCCAGGTTGATTTTTGAGGATTTTTTGCCCTAAATCGACTTTGAGATTGGGGAAAGTTGTCGTGAAAGAGGAGAAGAAGAGACGCTCTAAATGAAAAAACAGGTTTTGTTTTATGTCGGGTTTAATTCGGTTATCATCAATTAATCCGAATCAAATCGATAAACCGAAGTAATTCAACATCAATAACCATTCGGTTTTTTTGCTCAACCCGAACCCGATCCGAATCCGAATTTTCGGGTCGGTTTCGGATTAATTTTTTGGGTGCGGGTTTTATGCTCAGGGCTAGCAGTGCATAACAACTCAAAGTGAAATCTTTTTTTTTTTTGAATATCAATTCCATTGTTGTCTTTGATTAAATTGTTTTAGGTCTTAGTTTTCTCGGATGATCAAATGCTATAAATATGTTGTTTTAATATCTTAAAAAGTTGAATAATTTTGTTACGCTATTCTAAAACATATATTACTAGATATCAATATATTTGGATAAAAAACATGAAAACTGGTTTCGTCTCTTTATATAAAAATTATCATTGTGCGGTAACAATTATTTATTAATTTTAAGAGAAATTCCTCATTTTGTGTCGACTTTTTATTGCAGTTGAGATTTTTGTCTTCTACTCAGATTGCAGTTGCGGCAAGGAAACTAAACGAACGGCGATACAATCGTTACATCATCCATACAATGTGGAAATTATTAAAAGAAATTAAATATCTTTTTAAGTACATTACTAAAAGGGTCGATAAAGCAATCTTCACGATTGAAAAGAACAAAAAATTAACTTGGATTATCAAAAAGAAGAATGAAAGCAAAAAGGTCGAAGACATTCAAGAGTACACAAAATATACCTATCTGCTGTTGATTATGGTTCTCAACTATCTGGGGTCGGTTCGGTAATTCGAGTTCGGAAGGTTAAATTGATTGTATTTTATTAAGTTCTCAATTACAGTTCGTTTAGTTCGGAGGTCTCTCGACGAACTCGATACAATATTCAGGTCTCTATTCTCCGGGTCCGAAAAAGATTCATTCTACAGTAACAATTCTACTATTTATAATACATAAACGAAGAGATGTTCTAGGGCTTCTCGTTCATCTCTCACCGCTTCTTGTCGCTGGGCTTTTCTCTTATGGGCCGTGCTGTCAGGTCAGGCCTATTTCGGCTAAGACCGTCGTAAACCGGGATCGATTGGGCCGGTCTCGGTCTTTAACTGGTCCGAACTGGGGAGCGGAGCGTACCACCAACAGTATGTCCCCCCCCCAGTTCGGTAAATGGACCTGACTGACTTTTGCCGAATTGAAGCAAGATCGGTTGATGACCAAGGTCGATGACGTTGAGTTCTCGACTTACACCCTTCTTCATTCCTCTGGTGTTTCAGCAAGGGTATTTAAGTATTTTCGCTTGTGGGGAACTGAAAATCTGCGTCGGTTTAGGCGGGAAATCGAGACGTTACGAGGCGCGGAACTCAAGAAGTCGCAATGACTCGCTCTTCTTCTATAAATAGGGCTCAGCTCTCCCCATTTCTCACTTTCGCTCCTACTGCCAAGGTATTGCTCTCCCTTCTCTCTAAATTTTCTACTTTCTCTCTCTAGAATTTCCGGTAGCCGTCAGCCGTGCTCTCTCGTTGACGGTTATTTTCTCGAGCTCTCCGACAATGTCTTCCGACTCTTCTTCCAATTCCGAGGCCGCCATTCTTCCCGAACACCGTAGGGAGGAAACTTCCACTGACATCTCGAGCTCGGGATCTACAGAGCATTCTTCGAACGCTTCTTTGGTTCGGAAGAATTCCCGGGTCGTCGAGGTCGGCTCTAATAGCCGAGTTCTGATTCGGGCTCCAGAACGGATGGATCAAAATCTCCGTGAGCCCGAGGGCCAAGTCCCCACTGACTTGGTCCCGGGACGGGAGCCTGACGTGAAGACGGATGAGGATGCTCTACTGCGTGAGGTCGGTGATGGAGGAACGCAGGATCCGAACGACGACGACATGATGCCGATCGTAGATCGGCCATGCGTATGCGCTCCAGTGAAGTCCACCTTGTGGTCCCCGGAGACAGTTTGGGCTGCGATGCTGATCGGTGGAGCCCCTCCCAGAATCATAATCCAGATTCCCGAGCCGGAAGAACGCCCTTGGGATGCTCCTGAGGACTTTATTTGCGTCTACGAGGCGTATTTCCGGGAGGCCGGATTGACTTTCCCTCTACCGCGCCTGCTGTTCGCTTACTGTAATCGGCGCGGCTGCGCGATATCGCAACTCCAGCCGGCGTCGATAGTTAACTTCGTCGGGATTCTCCAACTCGGGCGCGACATCCGTGCTCATATCAATGTGGCCCAGTTCGAGGAGCTTTTCATCATGAAGGTCTCGTCGGCCAAAAGCTGGTTTTTGTCGGTGAATTGCAACCCGAAGTTCGACTTGGTTACGGGGAACAAGGCTAGCAAATTTCCTAACTGGGACCAAAGTTACTTCTTTGTTCGCGTCGATTCGTTATCTGCTGAGAATCCGGAGAGCACGTTCCGGACTGGCTGGAGTGTCGATTTTGGTACATATCTCACGGTTAACTCCCCTGTTTCTTGGTCGGTACTAATAAATTTTTTTTGCTTATGCAGATTGCCACATTCCAGGATTTATTCAACGCTCCCTTACGTCCGACCTAGCGAAGCAGCTAAGTCTCGTCGGACAGCGCTGTTGGCCCCTTGCTTACCGGGAGAAGATCGATCGTTGGATAAAATGAGCTCAGGATAGAGGTATGAGTTCTTCGGGTCGTTTTGAAGTCGTTATTACTTAGCTGTATGGATTACGGCTGACATACCTGTTTGTTTTTTTTTTTTTTTGTAGCCAAAACTAAGACTGAACCCAGCTCGTCGAGGCCGGTACCGAAGAAAAAGAAATCGAAGAAAGGCAGCAAGAAGAGTCGGAGGATGGCATTCGACAGGTCGGACATCCCAATGATGGACTTCGGGGCTGATGAGGAAGAAGACAACGCCCCGATTGACGTCGCCGGCCTCGACGCAAACGAAGCCGATGATGGCATCGAAGCCGGAGATGGAAACGAGGTCGGCAACGTCCCGGTCGGCCCAGTTGATCCTTTGATCCCGGTTACAGACCCGGAGGTCAAAGCGGTGGGGACTGGCGTTCCTGAGGCGGTTTTTGAGCCTCAGATGGAAGAAGGTGAGATTGGTGAGCAGGACGAAGATGAGCTCACCATTGCCGACCGTGCCCGGAGGAAGAAAGGGAAGTCTTCGAGGAAATTGTCTCGGAAGAGGGGTGGCGACCCCGAGACGGCTGTGAGTGAGGAGACGCTGGTCCTTCACGGTGGAGACATCGGCGGTTCGCCTACCGCTTCTCAAATTCCTCCGCCGGATCCGGCGGTCGAGACCGGGAACCCGAGGTCATCCAAGAGGCGCCGGACCTCTGACTCGTCATCTTTCTTGATCCGTCTCAGCTATAATAAGGAGAGGTCTTTTTTTGACGACGCAACTGCCTGCGCCGAGCTCTTCAGGCAGATCTTCCCGGATTCGTCTCCAATGCCTGAGACTAAAGACCTCTTCCGCCCCAAATCTTACGCTCGGGTCGCAAAATCCGCCTCCGCTGTAAGTTTCTCTCTGATTTGAATACTTAGGCGTTTTTTATTTTGAAGTGTCTGACTTTGATCTCTATTTTCAGTTCGTCTGTGATACCAACGAGCTCGTCCGCGACTAGGATTCTGAGGTCGAGAGGCTGAGGAAAGTCAACGCTGAGGTCGCTGCCGAGAGGGCGTCTTTGGAAGCGTCGTACCGGGACAAAAAGGAAAGGTACGAGGCTGCTATGCTGGCCTTCACCGAAAAGGAGAAGGAGAACGCTGCCCTGAAGGAGAAGGTCGGGGCTCTGGAGAAGCGGACTGCCGAGCTGGAAGGGGATATGGACGCTCCGTCTAAGTCGTTCAAAACGAGCGAACTCGAGAGGCGGAGGTACCGAGACGCCGAGTCCAAGGGCAGAAAGATGATGGGAAGCTGGCCAAGATGAAGGACTTCATGGACAAGTCCGAGCTCAGAAAGGCGCCGTTCCTCAAGCTTAACCAGGCGACGGCTCTGGTCGGTTTTTGCGACTTCCTCAGAAGGGAGCATAACATGATCGTTCCGTCTCACATCGTGGAGACGTACTGGCGTGGAGTCAAGAACTGCACAAAGGAGGTCGAGGCCATCCCCCTTCCGCGGTTCGAGAACGAAGACTTCCTCCTCCCGAGTGACGACGACCTCATCCCTAGGATTGTGCTTCCGCCGGGGACGCAAGTTCCGGAGGGCTTGGACCAGTTTGGCTTAAACTCCAAGTCCATCTCGGCTGATCGGGCAGCAAGTCTCAAGAGTCCGGCGTCCGTCACTCGCCAATGATTCCCTTAGTTTCCCTTAGTTTTCTTTTTCTTTTCTTTCTTGTTGTTGTAAAGACTATCTTGCCCGCGTAGCTCGGGTTTTACCTTAACGATTTGTTTTGGTCGCCGATTTTAGGCGTTGTATTTGTTGCCGTCTAGTTCGGCAATTTTCGGGTTTTAATGAAATGAGCACGGTTTTCCTTTATCGCGACTTTTACTTAGAATTTTCCTTTCTCATATTTTATTGCGAACGGTTGGGAGTTCGGCTTGTTTCCATTGGATTTGGAGTTCGTGATGTTAGACGATGTGGACGAACTCAGGAGGCTCTCCGAGCTTGAATCGCGGTTGGCTGATTGCTATTCGGAAGAGTGAGTGCGGATTGGGTTCTGGCTTTGAATAGTGGGCACCATGGGGGTGCGGGCGAGACAGATCTCGGCTTTTGAGATTGTATTCATGGGGAATACTTAGTTCGATCTCCTGGCCGGGGAGTCGATATGTGGAGTTAGTGAAAAAGATGGATTTTATTGGATTTGTAGCTGGACTCGAAATCGAGCTGCCTACGTACCCTTTTGCAAGGGATCAAGCCAGTCGTAGTTCAGTTTACAGGGGTGAGTTCAGCCGGAGCCGGACTGGTTTTTTTTTTTTTTTTTTTAGCTCGCTGATGGCGGTAAAATGAACAGTCCGAGCTCGCGGTAGCTGGGACTAGTAGTAATATCGTTTGAGGTTGGCTGAGTTCCATGATCGCGGGATCGGTGTTCCCTCGAGTTGCATGAGTTCGTAAACCCAGGGCTTGACGATTCTCATTATCTGATAAGGACCTTCCCAGTTCGTTCCCAGCTTGCCTGCGTTTAGTTCCTCGGTGTTATGGAACACCTTGCGCAGAACGAGGTCGCCTTCATCGAAATGCCGACCTCACACTTTCTTGTTGTAGTAGCGAGCAACAAGCTTTTGGTAGTTCTGGATTCGGAGGAGAGCTAAGCATATATGTTCTTCCAAGTTATCGAGGTTGTTGAACATCATCTGGTCATTGAGATCGGGGTTCTCGGGGAGCACGAAGTATTTTAATGTTGGGATGCTCACTTCTGCCGGACAGAGGGCTTCAAGTCCGTATGCTAAAGAGAAGGGAGATTGTCCCGTCGACCGTCTGGGAGTAGTTCGGTGCGAACATAAGACTCCATCGAGCTCGTCCGCCCAGGTGCCTTTCTTAGCCTCGAGACGCTTCTTTATGCCGTCCAGGATGGTCTTGTTGGTTGCCTCGGCCTGACCGTTGCCTTGCGGATATTGCGGGATCGAGAAACTAAGACGAATTTTGAACTTTGCGCACCAATCATTGAACGTTCCAGCGATAAATTGTGGTTCGTTTTCCATGACGATTTCATGCGGGACCCTGTGTCGGCAAATGATATACTTCCAAACGAATTTTTGTACGTCCAGTGCGGTGATCTCCGAGTACGCTTCGGCCTCAACCCATTTTGTGAAGTAGTCAGTCATACTCAAGATATACTGTTTTTGACTTATTGATCGGCATAAAGGGCCGACGATGTCCATGGCCCACCGCATAAAAGGGTAAGGCGCCGTACTGGTTTGTAGCAGCTCGGTTGGCACGTTAATCATTGGACCATGACGCTGGTACTTATCGCATTTCATGCCAAACTTCTCGCAGTCCGCGTTCATCGTCGGCCAGAAAAAGCTGGCTTTTTTTATTTTCAGGGCAAGGGATCGACCTCCCGAGTGATTGCCACCGGACCCTTCGTGGATTTCGCGCATGATTTCGACTATATCGTTCCTGGAGACGCAGGCCAGGAGTACTCTGGATGCGCTCCAACGGTATAGTTTATCTTTATGCATTGTGTAGTGAGCAGCCCGGACTTTAAGACGACGTGCAGCCCATTTGTCTTCAGGGACTTTGCCGTTGAGGAGGTATTCTCGCAGTTCGGCTGTCCAATCCTCAGTGGACTCGTTCTCCTGGTTTTCACTGGTCGATGGGCTGTGGATTCCTTCAGTTATGTGCTCGAAGTCGTGATCGGCGGCTAGATCCTCGAGAGCCTGTTCGGCATTCTCCTTAAGAACCTGTTCGGCATTCTTGTTTGCCCGTGCTGGATTCCTGCTTTGCGTATTTGACGAGGTCGGATTTTTGTCATAGTTCCGTCGTCGGGTGGCAACATTGCATTTCGGTGCGGTTTTGATGCTTGGTTCTGAGATACTCTCGACCGGGATTTTTCTCTTCATATGCGGGTCGGAATTGGAAGCTAGGGCGGCTAACGCGTCGGCAGACGAGTTATCGCCGCGAGGGATTTTGGTGAGTTCGAACGTCTCAAACTTTGAGATGAGTGCCTTAGTCGTTGTTAGGTATGCATCCATTCATTCGTTTTTGGTCGTGTATTCTCCACTTAACTGACTTGCGACGAGCTGCGAATCACAGAAAGCGTGAAGATGTCGTACGCCGAGCTCTTTAGCCAATCGCAGTCCGGCAAGTAGAGCTTCGTACTCAGACTCATTGTTGGATGCTGGGAACTCAAGGCGGAACGACTGTTCGAGGATCTCGCCGTTTGGAGACTTTAGGCGGATTCCGACACCTGATCCCCGGTGTGATGACGATCCTTCGACATGCAGAATCCATAGTTCGCGGGGCGGCTGTTCGACGACGAACTCTTTCGGGAGCTCGATCAGAAAATCGGCGAGTACTTGGGATTTCGCGCTGGTTCGATTCTTGTATTCTATATCGTACTCGCTTAGTTCGACGGCCCATTTCGCAAGGCGACCTGATTGGCTTGGACTGTGTAGAATGGTTCGGAGCGGCTGGTCGGTCAAGACTGTGATTGAATGAGACTGGAAATATGGCCGAAGTTTCCTAGCGGAAATCACCACTGCAAGCGCCAATTTTTTTAAAGTCAGGTATCTGGCCTCAGCGTCACTTAGCAATTTGCTGACATAGAATATGGGACGCTGTTCCCCCCTGTCTTCGCGGACTAGAACACTGCTAACCGCCGATGCGGAAATTGCGATATATAAGAATAGCATCTCGCCGTTCTCGGGTTTAGCTAGGATGGGGGGAGTCGAGAGATATGTTTTCAGCTGCTTGAAGGCATCTTCGCACTCGGCGCTCAAAGTATGATACTTGTTACCTCGTAACAACTGGTAGAAAGGCAGGCATTTATCCGTCAATCTGTTCAGCGCGGCGATTCGGCCTGTAAGTGTTTGCACTTCCCTTTTTGAAGTCGGGGAAGGTAGGTCTAGAACTGCAGATATTTGCTTTGGGTTAGCCTCGATGCCGCGCTCGGTGACGATGTAACCCAGGAACTCGCCCGCTGTTACGCCAAAGGTGCACTTGGCGGGATCGAGTTTCATCATGTACTTGTTCAGAATGTCGAAACACGTTGACAGGTGCGGTATGTGGTCCTTAGCGTACAGGGATTTAACCAGCATATCATCAATGTATACTTCCATCGTTTTTCCGAGCTGACTGGCGAACATGCGGTTCACGAGTCTTTGATATGTGGCTCCCGCGTTCTTGAGACCGAACGGCATGACCTTATAACAGTAGATTCCTCGATCTGTGATGAATGAAGTCTTTTCCCGATCATCCGGATGCATTAGGATTTGGTTATACCCCGAGAAGGCATCCATGAAAGATAACAGTTCGTTGCCGGCGGTTGCCTCTACCAACCGATCTATGTGTGGTAGTGGGAAATATCTTTGGGACAAGCTTTGTTCAGGTCGGTGAACTCGACGCAGATCCTCCACTTTCCATTCTTTTTCTTCACGACTACCGGGTTTGCTAGCCAGTCCGGGTATCGAACCTCCGTGATCGAACCGGCTTTGAGCAATTTTTCGACCTTATCGTTAACCACTCTTGCTTTCTCGGGTCCGAGCTTGCGTCTCTTCTTTTTGATAGGTTTGTATGTAGGATCGATATTTAGCTCGTGGCAAGTGATGTCTGGATTGATTCCGGGCATGTCGCTGATATTTCATGCGAATGTGGAGACGTTCTTCTGGAGGAAACTGATGAGTGCTTCCCGAATATTGTTGTCGAGTTCGGCCCTTATGCCGACACATTTTTCTGGATCTGTCAGATCAATGCAGACTTGGTCGACTTGGCTCTGTTTGGGTGGACCGAACTGGCTTACTGCGGCCGCACGATCTTCTTGGAAGGGGCTGATGACGCATGTCCGTGCGAGACTGAGTTTGCACTCGGTGAGATGGCATAATCGGGACGCGGTCTGGCTTCCTTTGAGGGTAAAAATCCCTGATGGGGTCGGGAACTTGACGCACTGATGGAACGTTGAGGCGACGGCCTTCATGTCGAACAGCCATGGCGCTCCCAAAATCGCTGAGGACCAAGAATTTGATCATTCGGGCTGATCCGCCGACATAAATGGGTATCTTCACCGTTCCTACTGTCCTTGTATTCTCTCCGGTGAACCCGGTCAATAATTCCATGTAAGGCTTGATCTCGGAATCTGGAAAATCCATATTCTTGAGTGTTTCTTTGAATATGACGTTTACCGAACTCCCCGTGTCGATCAATATCCTGCTTACTTCAACGTCTCCGAGCTGAAGTTCCACGACGAGGCAATCGTTATGAGGCATATGCACTCCCCGCAGGTCGGCGTCGGTGAATAGCAGTGGTACGGTTGTGACCGTTGTCTGGGGTTGCGAGCTCGATGCTTGCCGGCTGTACTCTTTGAGGGCTCGGATGGAGTAGTTGCATTATTCGAGGGCTCCCATAATCATATTGACCTTCTTCCTGGTTTTGGGTACGTTCGTTTCTCTATTAGGTGCTTCGCGGTCTCGTTTAGGGGGAGCAACCTGTTCTTCATCAGAGTCGGCTGTCCTAGCAGCTCCTTGGTCGCGGGTTCGGCCGCCGGGGTCCCGGTTTAGGCAAATCTGCGGTGTCGATCTCGCCCTTGCGGAACTGTTGAAGCAAAAAGTCCCTCAGATGTCAGCATTCCTCCATGCTATGCCCATATCGCTCGTGATACTCACAAAAACGTTCACTTAGCGGCGTATCATCGTCTTTATGCCATGTGTTCCAAGATTTCGGTGGCCGTCCTGACTTTTGGTTTGACGGTCCTGCCTGGTTCACTACTCTACGCGGTTTGCCGGACTGGACTTTTGTTTCTGAATTATCTTTGGTGGTCAAGGTCTGGCCGGGCTTTGACGCTGAATACTGCCGAACTTTGGCGGCTTCTTCTTCTTCTTCCGCGATGAAGATGTTTGATTTGTGGAGCGCGTCCTCAAGGGTGAGGGGTCTGTTCCTGCGAAGCTCTTTATGAAAAGGTGATTTGTACCATGTTTTCTGGTATAAAGCTTCGAGGGCGGCTTCGTCGTCCACCGTGCAGTGACCCAAGATCTGTTTGAAACGCCCCATAAAGTCTCGGAGTGATTCGTTTTCACCCTGTGATATCTCCCAAAGCTCGGAGTTACGGGTTTTCTGCCCGATGAACATCGAGAAATGCTTTGCGAACTTAGTTGAAAGCTCCTTGTAGTTATCAATGGAGTCGGCTTCTAATCTTGAGAACCAATCCAAAGCTATGCCTTCGAGGTGTTCGACGAACAGTTGGCATTGGATCGCGTCTTTCTGCTCAGCCGAGGTGAACTTCAGTCGGTTGATCACGATGCCGAACGAGGTAAGAAAATGCCTCGGGTCCGAGTTCCCTTCGTATGAACGTAGTTTAAACTTTTCTAGGTTAGGGATGGGGACGTTGGTGATCCGGGAAGTGAACGGTGTTTTCTGTGCTTCCTGGATTACGCGGTCAATTTCAGGTGCCGAACTGGTGGCTTGGTGAAATTTGGAACTGATCTCTCGCAGTTGGGCCTGCATCCGTTCGATTTCCAGGTCGTGCGCCGTCAGTTGAGTTCGTATGTGCTGGGACGGGCTTTCGGACTGTTGCTGTATTACCGACCGTGCCACCGTGCACTGCGGATCTCGCTCTCCCTGGAAATCGCTGATGAGGTTCCGGCGTCGAAGCGGGCTCTCTTGTTGCAGGCTAGAAATCTGCGCGGTGAGAGTCGCGAATTTGGCATCGTTGCTTCGAACCAGCTCTTGCATCTGAGCAGCGAAGACGTTCATGAGGGCGGTTGGATCGAAGGCAGCTGGCGAAGCCTGGTGAGCCCCGGTGCTTGAGCTCGGCTCTGCCTGGTTTGTTGTGTTCCGGGTTGAGGTCGCACGGGGCTGTGTTCGCCTACCCCTGTATGTCCTCCGACCTGGGTGGGGTCGTCAGTACAGGTCATTTGAATCCCGACCTGGATTGAGGTCGGCTGTCCATCGTCTGCACGGGTCATCTGACTCCCGACCTAGACAGAGGTTGGTTGTCCATCGTCGGTCGTCATGTCTTCGAGGTCGATTACCGAATCGGACCCACGGTGGGCGTCAATTGTTGATTGTGGTTCTCAACTATCTGGGGTCGGTTTGATAATTCGAGTTCGGAAGGTTAAATTGATTGTATTTTATTAAGTTCTCAATTACACTTTGTTCAGTTCGGAGGTCTCTCGACGAACTCGATACAATATTCAGGTCTTCTATTCTCCGGGTCCGAAAAAGATCCCTTCTACAGTAACAATTCTATTATTTATATTACATAAACGAGGAGATGTTCTAGGGCTTCTCATTCAGCTCTCACCGCCTCTTGTCGCTGGGCTTTTCTCTTATGGGCCGTGCTGTCAGGTCAGGCCCATTTCGGCCAAGACCGTCGTAAACCGGGATCGATTGGGCCGGTCTCGGTCTTTAACCGGTCCGAACCGGGGAGCGGAGCGTACCACCAACATCTGCATCTGATTTTATATCACTACAAGAAAAAAGGCCTTTTACATCGAAATATATCGACGTAAAATTGATGTAATGGTCGATTTGCATCGAATTAGCGACGAAAATAAAATCATCGTAAAACGACCGTCGTAGAACTCAAATCATCGTAAAATCGACGTAAAATTTCCAACACCCAGAAATCGTTGTAATTTCGTCGGAATGATTTCGTCGTAACTTCGACGTAAAAGTTTTCCAACGCCAATATGACGACTATGGTTTCAACCCAAAATCTACGTAAACTCGATGTAATATTACATCGAATTTACAACGATTACGAGACAATCTGTTTTGTCAAAAAACAATAAAAATTATTATAGATCGACGTAATTTCGTCGTAAACTATCAACGTTAATACGTCGTAAAACGTTTTGACGTTAATTCATCGTAATATATTTGACGTAAAATCGAGATAAATTTACGACGAATTTACATCGAATATTAAAGAAAATATTTATTAAAATTCGATATTTAATTAATAAATTAATATTTAAAATAAATTAATATTAAATAAAACAAAATTATAACAAAATTTTAAATTCGAAAAAATTAATATATTAAAATACAAATTTAAATACAAAAAGTTTATAAAATTAAAAGTAATCTACAAAGTGATATCATAATCTTCGATGTTGAGATCGACGTCCCGAGGCTCCCCGTCATGTTCACCGCCCGTAGCTGCTGTACCGTCGTTTCCCGTCTGAACTACGAGAACCAAAATATGACCCTGGATCGTCTGCTGGTCAGAAGATCCACCGGAAGAACCCCCTCCAAGAATCCGTGATTGGCGTTGCTTCTCTCAGATTGCGGTGGCCAACTGCGGAACTGCTGCTACTATGATGTCGAAAAGCCCGTTCATCTTGGTGAGCTCCTACTTCTGAGCCACTTGCTCATCCCGTAAGCTGGGGATCTCAGCATTGGCGGTAGCAAGGTCATGTCGCAGTTGACTCGGATCCTCATATGTGCGGTTTCCCGAAGACGAGGTGACGGGACAGTCTCTAATAGAGTCCATCCCTAAGATGCGGTCCTTCTTCCTCGGAGCAACCGACAAATAAAAGAGAAAACGTTAGGTCAGAACTATATATATATATATATACAGATAAGTATATATATATATATTTAGTAATTAAATTAAAAAATATTGAAATCATACCTCTTCGAAGATCTTGTCTTGCACGAGGATGGTCAAAGGTACTTGGATATTACTGTCAGGTGTGACCTGGGTTTCCCGCTCGGCGATCCTCATCATAGCTTCGTTGTAGATCTCCTCTGACCGAGCATCTACAGAAGTCCCATCTTTTTTTCGGTGAGTGACCTCGACGAGCTTTGTCATAAGAGGAAGCTCTCCTCCGTTCTCCTCCGCCTACAAAAAAAATTAAAATTAAATATTAGTAAATATAAACAAAATATATTATATAAAAATATAAATATAAATAATTTAAAATTAATTACCGTTATCAGACGTCTTTCCGCAAATGGTACTTGGCCAGAAGTGTGCAGGGTCACTAACTTCCGACTGTTAGGACCGACCCGGTTTCGAATGCCCGAACACTTCGCAGCTACTTCTTGTGCATGCGGGTCCATCCAATACGCCTTCAACCCGTTCCAGCAGTAAGTGGACATCGAGCTCGGCTTTGCGTCGTCGCTGTCTATCTCCCACTTCCGCTTCCAATCAAAAACGGTGTTGACAAGGCGTTACTGCGCCATCAGGCGAAACTGTGTCCGGACCTCCTCGTTGATCAAGATGTCCTAGTTCCACCTTTACTACAAAATAAAACAATATAGTTGTTAAAACAATTGTTTTATATTTAATAAATTTTAAATAATTAATTAGAATTAAGAAGGATAAAAAGAGATTTACCGCGAAGCATTTGTACCAGGTGTCGAACGTCTCTTGCGACATCTTGCCCCAGTTGTAGTGAGGCTCGACGAAATAGCTCTTAATTGTGTCAGAAACGCTCCGACCGACACAATTATCCAAACCAAACCTATAAAATAGAAATGTAATATATTATTTATTAAGTCAATTAATGATTTATTTAAAAAAAATAATAGGGCAAAGAAAAAATTACTTACCAATAAGAGTTTGGTTGCGCTTTTCCTAGGACCAAACGTCGTAAACCCTCCCGTCCTGGAAGGACTAATAGGTCCTCGACCGTATAGCGGGCATACGAATGCGGAGGTCGGAGTTCGGGTGCAAGTGGTGGAGGTGGTGGTGGAGATTGCTCAGCCGCCGTGTTTGGAACCTGGGAGGCTACGGAGGAAGACGGTATCTCGGTATTACCCGAAGCAGATGCCCGGGAAAGAAAATGTCCGTTGGCCATGAAATTGATGTAGTGGGTCTTCCAAGGAGGCATCGTCTGCAAAAAAAAAATTAAATACTAATTAAAATTATTTTCAGAACCTATTATCTAATTTCGAACCTAATTCTAAAAAAATTCCGAACCTAAACTAATTCCGAACCTAAACTAATTCTAAACCTAAATTAATTATAATTATATATTATAACTATATATTATAATTATATATTTTTAAAAAAATACCCGATAAAGGAGAGAGGACGAGGAGGAGAGGAATGGGAGAAGAGGAGAGAAGGCAGTGGTAGAGAGAGCGAGAGGACATGAGGAATGAGCGACGAAGCGGAGAGGGGTGCCTCCATATATATAGTTTTTATATTCGTCATAAATCCGTCGTAAATTCACGACGAATTTATGACGAAAGCGTCGTAAATCCGACACATAATATCCGCCGAGCCACAAATCGAATAAGACAAACACACATGGCTGTCTTTGGGTTAAACGACGGATTTACGACGATTTTTCAGGCATATTCGCTGGAGTGTGCCAATTTCCTCCTCGGGGGACTGTTTCAAATCCACCCCAATAATCTATTTACGCTTCAAGATCTACCCATGTTAGGTACACTGGTGGGAGGGAGGAGACGAACCAATTTGTTCTTTATAAACAAACGCCTGTTTCTTCTATATTGATGGTTTGGTGGTAAAAACCGACGGTGACAATCAAACCAACAGATTTTCCGACCATGTTTAAGCTGAAATGCATAAGTCCTATCAAGACAATAAGGACATGATAACCTCCCATGCGTTGTCCAACCTGATAGCATTTTGTATGCCGGGAAGTTGCTTATTGTCCACATAAGCACCGCTCGCATCGTAAAGTTTTTACCACTCGAACAGTCATATGTTCGTACTCCGACATGCCACAACTGATTTAATTCATGTATGAGTGGCTGCAAAAACACATCAAGGGCCCATTTCGGGTGATTTGGACCAGGGACTAAGATACTTAGAAACAAAAACTTCCTTTGCATGCACATATCTGGAGGAAGGTTATATGGCGTAAGGATCACAGGCCATAAAAAATATTGCCTACCAGACATACCAAATGGACTAAACCCATCAGTGCAAAGACTAAGTTAAACATTTCGCTTAGATCTAGCAAAGTCTGGATGTACGGTGTTAAAATGTTTCCAAGATTTCCCGTCAGAAGGATGAGTCATTTTGCCATCTGTTTGTGAATGTTCTGCATGCCATTTCATCGATGCAGCTATCCGTTCAGATTGATAGTCTTTTTAACCTATCTGTTATAGGAAGATACCACATTCGTTGATACGGAATATTCTTACGCCCAACAATTTGCGGTCTATATCTTTGCTTTTGGCAGAAACGGCATTCTTGAAGCTTCTCATCATCTCTCCAAAAAAAGCATACAATCATCAACACATACATCAATCATCGACGTAATTGAGTCGTAAAAAATTCGTTGGAAATGGGCCTCTTTCTTGTAGTGTATGATGTATATTTGGGTTTAACATACATCAAGGCCGTCAGTGATGAAACTAACAATCCATCTACCTGGAGAACAAAGTATTTTTTTTTTTAAGAAACACACACCACAGGAAAGTGTGGACAATGCGGTTCACACATAACAAAATTTATGGAAACAAACAAAGTCGACCCCATAGCAAAAAGGCTGACATATGAAAAATTTTCCACAATGTTCGTGTGGGATTACACAAGAAAAGTGTGGACAATGCGGAAAAACTGTTTCACAATAGAGAGAATTGTGAATGTCATGTTAAGGATATACTTAAATCATGTTACAGGGCCATAAAGTTTCGAATAATTACAAACAGTGCATAGCCAAATATATCTGACTATTAAAGAAGCATGCCACACGATGGGATTTTTAGATGAGAAAGAAAATTGGATAGGTGCAATCGCTAAAGCATCACAAAGAGAAACTCAA